CTCATCATGTTTTATGTTGGGTTTGCTAGGAGACAATCAGCTAATCCACTGCTATGTGTCCCACAGTGAAGTGGGAATGTGGAATTAACTGCCTTCGCCATCCACTTAATCTGTCAGCTTCAAAGTATTTACAGAAAAAAAAAAAAAAAAAATTCTTACTGCTTTAAAGCCTCCAAAGATGTAACAGTAATCATGAGAGCCTGATGCTTCAGAATAGTCATCCTTTTATGGAAGGTCAGAAGTAACTAGCTTAAAGGAAAGAAGCTCAAAGCAATTCTTTGCTGCACTTTTATTTCCCTTTTCAAGTCAGACAGTGCATTATGCTCCTATAACGGGCCTGAGCAAATGCTAATGCGTTCTTGCTCTCCTGAATGGCATCGGAACAATTTGGTCAGCACTTTCACCCTGCAAAATCCTAGAGCAATGGCAAAGCATTAAAATGCAAACTACGTTTCTTCAACCACCGAGGTTCTCAGATGGAACAATCTTGTTCATTCTTTGGTAAACAGAAACATTTAAGCAACACCTAGAACTGCGATTGAAAAAGATCAGATCGGCTGCACCTGAAGTATTGTGGAGGTGGTTTGTTGAGGTTCTGGTTTAATGCAGGATGGGATAAATCCCGCTGAAGGCTGGTGGAATGACTCAGCTGAGCACACACACGGAGCCCGCAGCGTGGATTGACTGCACTGCTGCCCGTCTGCTCGCAGCACGACGGGCTCGTCCAAAGCCAACACTGCGGCCATCTCGAGGTGATGGGATGGCCAAAGCCCAAACCAACGGCTCTAGTCTCTCAGAACAAGGCTCCAGCAACAGTGCCATGCTTACCTCCAGCTCTCCATCTGTCAGTCTTGTCTGTTTTCAAGGCTGGACTGAGTATCCCACTGGGTGTTTCCTGCCAGTTCAATTCACTTTCACCTGTAGGCACTGCTGGTTATCTCTCTGGGTGAGACTAGGGCTCTGCAGGCTACACAGACTGGAAAAAACAATCCTCAGAAAGAAAACAGAAATCATATTTTAACTTACCGTGATGGGTACTGTGGTACAATGGGCACTACACAGCTGTTTGACACAGCCAGTGCTTTGAGACAGAACAGAGAGAAGCTCCCTCAGTGGAGATCTGGCATGATCTTTATTTATACGTAACACTTGAAATGGTTGTACCTGGGAGACAGGGAACAGCAGCCAGTGGGAGTGCACAGCTTGCAGTGATCGGCAGCACACAGACCCCACTAAGTGAATGCTACAGAGACCCACAGCGATTTGAAAGGAGAGAATCATGCATCAAACTACCATTCCCTCCCTGCCACACCTCCTCACATACGCTGTGCTTTTCACCCAGTTGCAATTTGTGGCGTGTCATGACAGATGATCTGTGGTTTGACTTCAGAGATGACTGAAATCTAGAAGGAGATCCAGCTGACCTAGCTAAGCATCAGTTTAGGCCCTTGCTGGGAGTTCTGCAGAATCACCAGGGGGAACACAGGCTGGGTTCCCCTGCTCAGCAGGTTTTGGACACACAGCCCCTCTCTGGGGAATACGCTGCAGGTGTCCCACGTGTCACTCTGGGTATTGCAGATGGCATATTCAGCACAGCAGGCTCCCCAGACACCATCCTGCTGCCATACTTGCATTTCCGTGATGGCCAGGAAGTCTGTGGCCCATTCAGTCCTTGTTTCACACAGAACACAACACAGTGCCAGTGCTGAAATGGTTCCTGGGTCCTCCAGATACCCAGCCTTACTGGGGCACCGAAAGATTCAGAGCACTCAGCAGTCAGTTTGACCTTTTCCAGCTCTCCATTCTTAAACTGCAGGACTATCCCTAAATCCAGGTATCTGTGACCCTCAAAAACCAAGACATTATCTGCTGTCCCTCGCAGGTGTAAGCTCTTAGCCCAGATCTGGGAGAACCTGTAGTGCTGAGCAGCTGCCACGAGTCTTCAGCTCTTCCTGCAAGGAATCCTAAACCTGACCTGAGCCCTCAGCCAGATTTAGCCCCAGACAAGACAACCCGACCACAGCATAAAGGGCAAGGAGCTATTAGCTGGTTAATGACCATCAGCAATTACCAGAGAAACGTATTTCAGATCAGCAGCTGGCAGGAAAGAGACCCAAAAATCAGCATTTTTTTCTATAGCCAACCCAGCAACCTGACTCAGGAACACTGAAAGAAGCTTAAGCACTGCTGCAAACTACGGGAAAGAGGGATTGCTAAGTGGGGGAGGAATATCTGATGTGTAGGAAAGCGGGTGGCATCACAGAGGCAGCGACCTGCAGAAACCTTTGCAAGAGGTTAGAAACATTGGCAGCCCAACTCTTGAGGAAACCGCAGTTGCTTGGTCTTGGCTGGATGCTTCAGCAGGGGCTGCCTTTCCCAAAGAGACCTCTCTGACCTGGTAGTGAAGTCAGCAGCCACTCCCAGCACCGTTTAACCCTATCCACAGGTACTCCATGTCCCCTGTGAGGCAGGGCATGCTGCCCCAACTGGAAACAGCGCTGTGCTCTGAATGCCATGGGCACTGCGAGGAGTCCCTGTTATTTTCAGGGATGAACACTATCTTTACCATCAAGAAGTTGTGTTTTCTGTATTTCCCTCGCAGTGGGCAGAATCCTACCCACTTACAAAGCTGCAGGAGATGGGTCCTCAACGGATATTCCTTCTTCTCACATCTAGGTGCTACACAGCTTCCATCTGCAGAGGCCTCAGGATGGTGATTCTGGGAGGGGATGGTGGGGAGGGACAGGGCAGAGAGAAGAGGGTGCTGGCTAGGGCAGATCCTCTGGTGCTGCAAACTCACACCCAGGCCTTGACTTGAGTGTTCCACCCCTTGGCACAGCTGCACAGGCCTCCCTCCTCGTACCAGCGCCACTTCACCCCCTTGTACACAGCCCTGCTGTATGGCTGGAAGCACATGAAGAGGCGGAGACGCCTTGCCAGGCTGCAGTAGATAGCCATGGCCACCACAATGAGAGGGGACATGATGATGAAGCCAAGGATAATGAGGGCAGAAGAGCTGTTGTCATCCAAGATGCTTCTGCAGTAGCGGGCAGCTGAGTGCAGCACCTGTGGGAAGAGCGAGACAGAGCTTGTCACAGACCTGGTGGTGGATTCGAGTGGTGACCAAAGCACCCTTGAGTTTCCAGTACTTTCCCAGAAAGACACACCTTTTCCCTCTCCAAGCTGAGCTCAGTGATCTTTCACAGAATCATCTCGGTCGGAAAAGCCCTTGCAGCTCCTCCAGCCCAACCATGAACCTCACCCTGACCGTTCCCAACTCCCCCAGATCCCTCAACGCTGGCTCAGCCCGACTCTTCAACCCCCCCAGGGATCCCGGGGACTCCCCCCTGCCCTGGGCAGCCCATTCCAACGCCCAACAGCCCCTTCTGCACAGAAATCCTTCCTCAGAGCCAGCCTGACCCTGCCCTGGGCAGCTTGAGGCCATTCCCTCGGGGCCTGGCGCTGGGGCCTTGGCTCCAGAGACTCATCCCCCCTCTCTGCCCCCTCCTGGCAGGGAGTTGCAGAGGGCCAGGAGGTCTCCCCTCAGCCTCCTCTTCTCCAGACTGAACCCCCCCAGTTCCCCCAGCCGCTCCCCAGCAGACCTGTGCTCCAGACCCTGCCCCAGCTCCGTTGCCCTTCTCTGGCCCCGCTCGAGTCATTCAATGGCCTTTTTGGGGTGAGGGGCCCAAAATCGAACCCACTTATCGAGGGGCGGCCTCACCGGTGTCAAGAAAGTCTTCAGGCTACACTCTGTCACTGACAACTCATTTTAATCAAGCTTTCAACTATTCCAGCATCACTGTGAGACAAGAGCACTGCACACTGATCCTGAAGCAGGAAACACTGATCTTAAATCATCAAATAGCACAGCTTAGCATTTGATAGGCAGAAACCAACCAAAAAGGCCTCCTGCTGCCACATTGATGTGAATGGCACAACACACTGGAAATTATAAGAAATTAGAAATTAATAAGAATAAGAAATTAATAAAATACAGCAAGATGTTAGATTCTGCAGATAGAGGCTGGTCATTCCATAGCTACCCACTGGGTGGAGACTCTCCAGACTCCTGCCCTGGAACAGACCCCCCTGTATTCTGTCCTCTAAAGTACACCCCATACTCATTTCTACCTCCTAGCATCTCTTTGCACTGCAAAACCTGCCAGGAAAGCCTGTTCACCCCACACTGCTGCAAAGCACCCAGCACCCTAACTGGGTATCTAAAGCCCTCCTTTCATCCTGGCAGCAGGAGAGCCGAGTGAAGCCACTCAGTTCTGCATTAGCCAATGCTCCAGGCAATCGTTACATCCCCTAGCTTCCTTCCCTTTCTCTATATTCTTTCAGCAGTACACGAAACACAACGCATCATACTAAAAAAAAATTAAATCCATCTAATGGATCTGCAGTGCAGAAATCACCCTCCGGCTACTAGGAAGGCACTGAAAAGCAGTAGCCCAAAGACAAAGGACTGCTCTTGTCAAGCCATACTGTCACAGTCCTCCTCTATGCCTCTAAATGAAAAGTCTGCCTGGAAAGACTCTTACAGCTAACAGCAACACAGCTGCTTTCACTTCTGATGTACTCAGCTGTACTCAAAAACCTTTTACATCTCCTCAAAGCCTTCCACTGGAGAGCACCGTCTGTGCAAAGGAGAACTTGAGGTTTTCCAAGGTGAGGGTCGGGCAGAATGAAGCTGGAAGGGGTAATTCTGGGAGGCAGTCCTCCCTTCTTCCGTTTTGGTTCAATTTGAAGTCCATATTTATGATTTTCGAGGCCCAGTTTTTGACCATAGGGAAAAGTGATTTAAGGGCTTTACAGGCAATGTCCTATTAAATCTACCTGAAAAAGCCTCATGCCTTACAGAATCTGCATCCACACTGCACTTGTGGAGACAGAGCAATCATTTTACCAAGGCAATGGCCCCCACGGCACTTTCTCCCAAGGAGAATTTATTAGTTTATTTCTTGTGAAGATTTACTCTTCAATAAAACAAAAGTCTTTCTGTACACCTGCCCTTTTGCATGCAAAAATCCCAAGAGCCACAGACTGTAAAAGGAAAAGTGTTGCAGCCCACCATGAAGCAGCATTGCATGACTCTTCAGGTAAATCAAGACTCCACTGAGGCACTTTTTCTCTCTGTAGGCCCTCCAGAGCCTCCCACTTCATCCTGCTGGCCGTCAAACCCATTTGCATCCCACAGTAAAACATTTCCAGAAGGTGTCAAAGCCACAGTGGGAATCGCCTGGCCCAGAGGTACGTGATTTCTCTGTGAATTATGCTTCACTCCAGCTAGCAGCAGCACTTGTGTCTGCCTTGTTCTACAAAACAATTACCATGACAGATGTCTCCCTGTTCATTAGTCTGTGGGATCAGGAAAAGCTTTCCAATTACAGCAGGTAAGAGTTCTCATAATTTCAGAGCAATAAAAATCAAAGCCAAACTTCTCAGACCAGCAAATACATCAGTACTGAGAAAAGAGCAATAGCACGGTCCCTTTGTCAGGGAGCTTTGAGATGGGGAGCTGTGGGTTGACAATTCATGTTGCTGGGATGCCAGCTGAAAAATACAATGCAATGGCTGTATCAGAAAGTTACAGCACATCCCCCAAAGCTATAAATGTTTGCAGTTAACAGCACATCTTAGCGTGCTGTTGTGTCCCAGGGTTTAGAGGCCTCAAGTGAGCAAACTAAGATTCCACCTACAGAATGAGCACGTTCACCACACATAGATGGCTCCTCGGAATAGATATCCTGGCACGGAAAGTGCTGCCAGACAAGCAGTTGTCCCAGAGCTGTGAGAGTTTGCACATCTGGGAAACGTGATTTTACACTTCAACTAGGCAGAGAGGTTGTCTCCTCCCTCCCTGTGGACTGGGACCTCCACAGCTATATCCGTGCACAGGGTCCACAGAAGTCAGCAGAGACTTACTGGGTTAAACTGGGCAAATGGCTGACCCTACTGCATAGTTGGATCCTTTCCTACCACCCATGCTAGGATCTGCTCACTCAGAGATCACCCAGGGACTTGGGCGATTAGGTAGGATGCACAGATTTCATTAAAAGGAAGGGGGGAAACTTTCTCCTTTCAATATTTCTCAGGTAAATACATCAGTTTGAGAATATTCAAGTAATCTTCCCTTTAGTTCAGATTCTGTGGAACGAGGAGACCAATAACAACTATATTTTGAGTCAATTCTGCTGGGAGAAGGTACTGCAGAGTGGGTTGTTTTGTTTTGGGTTTTGTTTTTTTTTTCCCCAAAGTAGGAAGTAAAAGAGCTCTTCTAACTTAGGATAATCAGCAGGAGAAGCCATACTGAGCTAGTCTGAGCCACTGCCTGAGGATAACAGAGAACTGCTTTTTCACATCCATACTTAGTCAACTGATTCTGAAAATATTTACAGAAATATACCAGGAAGAAATTTATAAGTAATGAAATAATGAAATCCAGAGGACAGCAACCAACTGGCATGGACATGCACCCAGCCAGAGCCCTTACTGACAAAGTAGACTCATTTGTTGGCGTGAGAAACAGTACACCACATTTGGGAACACATCTGAATGTTAGATTGGCATAAGAAGGGATTATATATTCTGTTCGACTTTAATGGTTCTATAATTAGTCATTAGGCAGATCAAACATGACACTGCAGAGGGCTTACTTAAATGGAAAGTAACAAACCCCGTCAGAGCCCACAGAGGTCTTGGGTGAATTACGGAGGAGTTCAGATTGGCAGCACTCAGTAACAGAGGTCACAGGAAAGAGAAATATTGTGACATTAAAATGCAAACAGCAATTTTGTCAAGAGAATGCATTCATCTGACCTGTCACGGCTGCTTGTTATTTTCACGGGGATACAACTTTATTGCCCAATCAAGCTTCCATTTCCCACAGTACCGGAGGGAGGGAGAAGTAAAAATGTATCTTGCTCCTTGCTGCCAGCATTCAGGTGTGCCCACAAGATTGGATTCTCATGCAAGCTTGTTGTGAAATGCTGTAGATTTATCTCTGATCACTTTATACTGAAAAAAAACTGTACAAAGTGCAGTGCACACGCGATCAGGACCAAGAGGTCCCATGTACCCTGGGCAGTCACAAGCAGCTCCTGTCTGTGCTCTCCCTGCTTCTCCAACGAGCCTTTTGTGGTAACCCACCGACGCTGAATGTACAGGTGCCAACCAACTACCTACAGACAATTAGCCTAGAAACTAGAGAGCTTGTACTTCCCTAGGCGAATGCACATGCCAGCCCTTCTTACAGCCGTGCCACAGGCACCAAGCAGGAGAGCCCACTCCCTTCTACAACCAAGAGCCATCAGGTCAGCAGGAACCACCATGAACCTGTTCTTGTCAGCCCAGGCTATACACGTACCTCCCACACACCTCGTGAAAAAATCTACACACGTACACACCCCTTATGGAAACAAAGCCAAAGCTTGGGGAATCTAGCCTCAGCTTTACAGCCACTGTTCCCCATGGGCTAAAATAAAACCATGGCCCTGCCTTAGAGGTGGCTTACTTACCCGGGAGTGGCATTGGAAGCCAAAATAAACTACCACAATGGTAGGAAGCAGCACAATGGTGAAGATAACAAACATCAGGAGTAAATTCATTAAAAAGACCAAGGAGTTCATGGTGCCTACCACCAGGGTCCATGCCAAGCAGCACCAGGTACTCCGTGGCTCCCTGGGAAGGAGCTGGTCATTCATGTCATACGGTGGGAGGCTAGGAATCATCTGAGACTCCTCGGAGAGGTTTTCTGCTCCAAAGTCCTCAGTGTCCTGGCCAGACATTCTTCAAGAAGGTTGCTAATCAATCTACTCCTATCCAAAATGGGTGGTTTTTTTTCTTTTTGCAACAGACCTAGGAAGTGATTTTCAGTGGCTTTTTCTGCCTCTTCCACGGACGGACAGGAACATTTAACCAGAGATCATAATGGAGCAAGGAAGGAAAGGCTGCTTTTGGCCACCTGCTTTCCCAAGACCTGGCCAGCACAGGTTGTTTCCCTTCAGAATGTTTTCCAATGGTGTCCCAACCTCAGTTTCAAAGTAGATGTGGCTGCTGGAAGTTTGGCAATAGTTATTATTTTGCTTTTGAATCCACAGTACTCCTGAATTTGTTGTTGTTCTCCCTAGGACTGTGATCCCACGAAGTCCCAGTTGCTGTCTTAGCTTTGATAGGTTGCTCAGTCCCAGAGAGTGCCTAGCTTTTGTATCCTCCTCCACCTTTGAGCACTGCTGTTTGCCAAGAGTCTCAGGCTTAAGCACTTTCAGACAGTTCCTTGACTTCAAATCATCTCTCCATGCTCTTCACCCTGTACCCACGTAAATATTCCTGCTCAACTTTCATCCAAATGAAGTGACCAGTGAAGATAATGAACAGCAGCTGTTTCTCCACTCTCTGCCTTGCTGGAGTCCTTGCCCACACCTTGCAGAGCTGGAAGCAAAGGCTGGAGCAGTGTGTGGTTTTGCTGCTCTCAGCTGCCCGCGGTCACAGGCACTCAAAGACAAGCAGTGTCTTCCTCCCCGAGCTGGCTCTCAGAGCTGTGCAACTGCTCTGTTTACAGAGTAGATTCTGAAGCTGCTTCCTGTGCCAGCCAATCCTTTACATCTATCTCACTACCAAAGTGATTTAGCACACAGCACCCAAGAGCCACGCTCAAACCATACATTCCCAGGGCAAGACGGTCCCTTTCCAATTTTAAATACTCTGCCTCTGATTAAATTTCTACAATTTCTCTCTAGATTAAAAAGCCTTAGAGAAATTGATGATAATAATCACTATATACCTCAGAAATCTGTTGTCTGAGCCATCACTGCTATTGTTTGCAGAACATTCTGATACTCTTGTAGCAAAGGCACAGCAATTATCAATTCTTTTATCTGCCTCCTATGACCAATATTATTTAAGAATTTCAGTGGTATCTGCACATTTATGTAGCCTTTTAGATATATTCATATATGGATAATCATGGTACTGCAGGAGGGAGAGAACTTCCTTAACTTCAGAGGAAACTGAGGTAGCATAGGTCTTACCAGAAGGCACAGCTCATCCGTGGCACAAGTCAGGGAAAGAATCCAGGGGTCCTGTGTTCCACTTGATGCTATTTTGCTCAGAAAATTCTGTCCTAGAAAAAGATTATCAGAAAAACAAGGTTCACACAATGCTAAGTGTAAAACGGTTTTATAATACAGATGAGTGCTAGCTTTTCTTCATTTCATGCTTTTGTTAAAAGTTGTGCAGTTTGGGTGCCCATCCCCTTGCCATTATTGGGTGTTTTGGTATGTTTATCTGCCTTATTTACTGGCCGGCTGTAGCAACAGCACAGACCGTTTTTTCCAAGGACTTGGACAGACCCACTCGTGAAGCATTTACTGGTGGTCCATTAAAAGAGCTCCACCAGGTGATAAGTCAGGGCTCGTGGACCTCAGGGCAGCTGCATCCCAAACACACCACAGCTTACCAGCAGCCTGGAGGTGATGAGAGCAACACGATATCCAGGCTCGATATTCATCACTCGTGAGTGAAGCAGACTGTTACTGATTTCTGGCATTACTTTTAATCAAAGTTAAGCTCCACTGTGTCAGGCACTCCATACATATGGGGTAAATGCACAGCTTATCTTACTGTGCAAGTTTTAGAAATGGGGAACAGGAACACATAGAGATAAAATTGTTCCCCAAGCTTCTTTCAAAGCTAAAATTTGGATGTAGATTTCCAAGTCACAGGCAACTATTTCAATAAGGAGGGACATATGTCTTATATTAGTCATTTGTCTGACTGCAGAAAGTAGAATATCACCCTGCAAAGATACAAGCTCATGTAGCCAGAAGGACTGCCTTCTAATTGAAACAGAATACAATTGAACAGGCTCTGTCCTCTTGCTGCTGAAAGTACCTCCTCACCCTGGGCTGGGAGAGTGTTACACACTACTTGTAGAAGGAAAACAGTGAGACAAATTGAGACTATTTGCTGTCTGCCACGGATAATCAATATCAAAACAGAAGCTTTAAAATTGAAGTGAGTTGAAGGCCTGTGTGAGAATACAGATTTCAAAGGTGTAAATAAGTGATACCAGCGAGAAGGAAGCCTTTTGAAACAAATAGGTAAACAGCTCAACAACATCCATAACTGTTATGCAGTTCCCCAGCTATGAAAATTATTAGTTGATCCACACTCACTTCATTTTTTTTTCTATAGCTCTTCTTGCAGGGCCTCTTAGACATCCAAAAGGGTCTCACAAACTTTAGCTCTATCAGTATCCAGCAGTAAAAATTAATCTGGCTAATCTGTAACAGATCACAAGTCAGGTGTATGATTCTTATTAACAGCAGAAATAACTCATAACTATGTGGGGCACTTTGTTCTGTGCTTACCATTGACGGATCTCAAAGCTCATCAGAAAAATACAAAGCCTCAGCCACAGGAGGCTGCTGGAAGCTTGGCAATAATTAAGTTCTTGCTGCTCCCTAAGAGATGGGGGGCTCGCAGGGCAGAGGATTGCCAGCCAAGGCTCCAGCCCACAGGACCCAGCCAAGGTGAAAACAGGAGACTCAGAGTTGGTGGTCAGATTCAGTGAAGAGTCCAGATCTTCAGGCAAGCTTACAGTTATAAGGCAGGTCCAAGGTTAGCCTGGAAAGTCAGTCTAAGGTCAGAGACCAGAATAAGGTCCATGGCCAGCCTTAGTTGTAACCCAGCTAGCACCAGAAACAGGAACACCTACAAGAGCAACTTGCAGAAGGATGCTCCCAGGCCTGAGTGTAAATGGGCCCCAGGCAGAGGGTGTGGATGGAAGCCTTTTGCAATAATGAAAATGCATTTTAACCTGTGCAAGGTCTGAAAACTGTATTTTTTACATTTATTTTCCTTTGGAAAAAACCCCACATATTCTAATTATTCTTCTAATAACCAAGTGAACTTCATGTCAAACAAACCCCAGTGATAGTAAGAAAGATTCCCCAAGCTCCTCATTCTGTGAAGTTTCCACATCCTGAACAAGCACCTGCCCGTAAGTGGAAAAGCTGTCGATGACGGTACAAGTTAGGGAGCAGTTTCTAACAGGAGCATCATTGCTTCGAGATGCTGAAACTGAGAATGATTAAAGATGATCAGACAAATTCATTAGTTCTCTGATGGCAGACCCTTGCTGCTAAGAAATATTTTTTCCACTGCCTATAATGACAGCACCATCTTGTGGTTTGTTCATAAAAAATTTCCATTTTACATCTCACAACCTCTTATACACAGAGGAAGTACTGTAAGACACGCTACCCAGCATGGAATTCTTCCAGTCACTGACACCAGCACAAAAACTTTTCACACTGCATTGCCACTGCTCCTTTGAGCACTGCTAACAATACAGCCCAGCAGCAAGAGATGGGTATTGAAC